GAAAAAGATGAAAACATCAAGTTGACAAATCCAAACGATCTTATCTATGTTTATCCTTTGGCCGGTATAATTTATGTGATACGAGTGCTTTTCGAACGGTAGAAAAGAAAAAAAAATACCATTCTAACTTGCATACTGTATTGACAGTTTCTTTTCTTGTTAGATATGTTGCTAAACCGATTGGTCGATTGCTTGGTATTCAAGATCGAGTTGGAAGAAATACAACAAAAGATATGAAAACTACAGCAACAACAGTATCAAATCGTTTTAAACCAATAAATATAAATCAAACATACCAACAAGAACAAGTAGTCAGTAATGATAGTGGCTCATCGGTATCAACAGTTCGCTATTCACGTATTACTCGACTAGCTAAATTTAGTGAATCCTGCTGGCGTTTTACTTTTTATCTAAGTGCATTCATTTACGGTGTTGTCATACTTCTAAATGTGAGCATATAGATGTATGTATATTTGTTAACTCTTTATATTACCAGAAATCATGGACATGGGATACACGTCATTGTTGGTTGAATTATCCTAATCAACCTCTGACAGCAGACATCTTTTGGTACTACATGATCGAACTTGCTTTCTATTGGTCACTTTTATTTTCTCAATTTATCGATGTTAAACGAAAGGTATAAGTAAAAAAACCGTTGTATTTTTGTAATGGAAAAAATACTTTTGTGAGCGTTTTTTTTGTTAATAGGACTTCTGGCAAATGTTTCTTCATCATATAGCTACTATAATGCTTTTGTCCTTTTCCTACATTGCGAATTATGTGCGTGTCGGCTCACTAGTACTTGTTATACATGACTGTGCCGATTATTGGCTTGAGGTTTGTATTTTATCAAACAAAAATCTTTCTTTTTCCTTGTCTAATCGATCCATTTTTCTAAATAGGGCGCCAAAATGGCCATCTACACGCGGTCACGCCAGATCAGTGACGCTATGTTTATGATATTTGTCATTGTGTGGTTTATCACTCGTATTTGCTACTATCCGTATAAGTAAGTTAACTAAATTATTGATTCATTCAATTAATCCTTCGTACTCTCTTCTAGAATACTCTACACGACGTTGTTCGAAGGAGTATCTATTCTTGAATCATGTCCTGCTGCTTATTATGTATTCAATGGATTACTATCGCTTCTTTATGTTCTTCACAATTTCTGGTTCTATCACATATGTAGAATAGCCATAACTGCATTGAATAGTGGTCAGGTACGATAATCAATTTTCTTCTTATTTTCATCTAAGTTTGAGATTATGAGTAAGTATATGAACATTGTAGTTAGAATAGGAGAGAAAATGAGAACTTTCATTTACTTGAGTGAAAAAGAATTAAAAATAAAACTTGATTTTGTGCTTATTTTTTTTCTCTTTTTCATTTATTGCAGGTGAAGGACGAACGAAGCGACAGTAAAGATACCGATGGTGGCGACAAGAACAAGTGATTCTCTAATCTTCCTTCCGATAATTCTCTTTCTCGTAGAGAAGAGTCCAGTAAACATAAATTGTCTGATTGATTGCTTACTCGTCTGTCCGCAGGGTCAAAAAAACATCAAAAACCGATTTTTCGAAAAAGACATTTCTAGAGGTTTTTCGATGCGGGGACTTCGAATCTAAGGCCTGTTGGGTGACCAGGGTCAGAGGGGATGAAAGGGGGGGGGGGGGGGGGGGACAGAAGTCAAAAAAACATCGAAAACAGATTTTTCAAAAAAGACATTTCCAGAGGTTTTTCGATGCGGGGACTTCGAATCTAAGGACTGTTGAGTGACCAGGATCAGGGCGGATTAAAGGGGGAGGGGCACAGGTCAAAAAAACATCGAAAACAGATTTTTCGAAAAAGACGTTTCTAAAGGTTTTTCGATGCGGGGCCTTCGAATCTGAGGCCTGCTGGGTGACCAGGGTCAGGGAGGATGAAAGGGCGGGGGGCACAGGTCAAAAAAACATCGAAAACCGATTTTTCGAAAAAGACATTTCTGGAGGTTTTTCGATGCGGGGACTTCGAATCTAAGGCCTGTTGGGTGACCAGGGTCAGAGGTCAATAAATGCGGAAACTTCGGATTTAAATCCGAGAGTTATGTGTACTTCAAAAAGTGAATGAGACTGATGAGTCGTTCTAGAATATGGGGATATAAAAATTATTCTGGCAAACCTTATCTATAAACACTTGATTTCTATTGGCTACTGTTCAACCAATAGGATTTGGGGATGAATACAGCTCAGATTTGAACTCTTCACCTTGATTTACTCTAAGAAAGTCGTTTTTCCTATAACTTGATTTCTATTGGTTACTGTTCAACCAATTGGATTTCGAGGCGAATAGAGCTCAGATTCGAGTTCTCCACCCCAGAAAACCTCGAACTATCATCTCTGTGATCGAAAGATAGAGCTCTATTTGTGGATCAATTAGAGCGTGACAAAAACAGAACCGAATTCCGATTAATTATCTTTGCAATAGCTGAGTTGGCTTTCTTGTTTCCTTATGTTTTATATACCACTTTGTAGCTCGTGAAATTCTCTATCGAATGGTATATAATAGTTGGGGTTTTAGTTGACTATGATAGGAAAAGTCTTTTACGAAAGTGGGGATGGGTTGATCTTTCCATAGGGAAGGTGCAGGGAAAAATGAGTATTTTTGCAATAACTCAGGAAGGGCTCGGCCAATTCTTCTCATCTTCGAACTCGACCGAGACATTGTTAAGACTGAACTGTGTAGAAAATTTCATCGCGATTGGACTCTCCTTTCAAAAGTTATCGTGTTAACGGCCGGACGGACGGACATACTGACCGATTCTAGAGTGTACTCACTTTTTGAGTACACAAAAAGAAATATAGTTCAACTAGAACAAAGAAGTTTTCATTTATGCGAATGAATGAACCTTCCGGAACTAACTCCTCGCCGCGTCCTATGGGACAAAAAGAGGGCATCCGCAGGGCCTAAGGGGCAGTTCCTTAGTGCGCTCAAGGATGAATTTTTTTGGACAGCTTGATAAAAAATTAAACATAATTGTTGACAGATTGATCTTGATCAAACTGTCTAAAAGAATCGACCCGCAATGTCAGTACACATGAGTTTGTCATAGTTTTGGAAAGAATAACATTGAGGAAATCTGAAACGCAGCATACGTACCCTTTTGATTGTCCTCATTTTGTAGTTCCAGACAAATTCTGTCGATTTCGAAAAATAATTATATAGGTTCTATGGAAAAAAAGTGAAGATAATTGAGTCCTCATAATATAGGACTCGAGGACCTAAGAGCACCCTCACAATATAGGACATGAGGACATAAGGGTACCCATATAATATAAAACTTAAGGACCTAAAGGTACCCTAATATAGGACTTGAGGACCAAAGGGTATCCGTATAATATAGGACTTGAGGACCTCAGGGTACCCTTATAGTATAGAACTTGAGGTCCTAAAGATACCCCTATAATATAGGACTTCAGAACCTAAGGGTACCCTTATAATATAAGACTTGAGGACGTAATGATACCTCCTTAATATAGGACTTCAGGAACTAAGGGCACCCTCACAATATAGGACTTCAGGACCTAGAGGCACCCCTATAATATAGGACTCGAGGACCTAAGGGTACCCTTATAATACAGGACTTGAGGACATAACGATACCCCCCTAATATAGGACTTAAAGACGTAAAGGTACTTAAACACGCCCCCCCCCCTCCTCGGAATAGGTCAATATTGGTATAGGAAAAAGTGAATGAGACAGATGAGTCACCCTAGAATGTGGACATCAAAATTGTCCTGGCAAACCCTTCCTGTAAACACTTAATTTCTATTGGCTATTGCTCAGCCAATACGATTTGGAGGCAAATACAGCTCAGATTTGAACTCTTCACCTTGATTTACCCTAAGAAACTCGTTTTTTCTATAACTTGATTTCTATTGGTTACTGCTCAACCAATTGGATTTCGAGGCGAACGGAACATAGATCCGAGTTCTCCATTCTAGAAAACCTCGAACTATCATCTCTGTGATGGGAAGATAGAGCTCTAATTGTGGATCACATAGAGCGTGGACAAAAACAGAACCGAATTCCGATTAATTATCTTTACAACAGGCGAGTTAGCTTTCTTGTTTCTTTATGTTTTATATACCATTTTGTAGCTCGTGAAATTCTCTATCGAATGGTATATAATAGTTGGGGTTTTATATGACTATGATAGGAAAAGTTTTTTATGAAAGCAGAGAAGGGTCTATCTTCTCATAGGGAAAAATGACTATTTTTGCAATAACTCAGCGATGGTTCGGCCAATCATTCTCATCTTCGAACTCGACTGAGATATTGTTAAGACTAAACTGTGTAGAAAATTTCATCGCGATCGGACTCTCCTTTCAAAAGTTATCGTGTTAACGGCCGGACGGACACACTGACCTATTCTAGAGTGTACTCACTTTTTGAGTACACAAAAATAAAAAAAAATTGTTGTTGTTGTTGATTTTCGTTTTGTCCAGGGTCGCCAAATGTTAGCGGTTGTCCTTTTGGATCAACGCTAAGTTCGTTCTCTTTTCTTTAACGAAAAAAAGTATGTATATGTGTGTGTGTATACGTACACTTGCACACCGTCTTTTATTTTATCTGTTTTTTAAATAATGGAAAACACGTACATATATAGTGAGCGACAAAAAAAGAAAAAAGAAGAGAGAGAGAGAAAAGAAAAGAAAGAGAACAGGGACTAGATGTATGGATAGTAAAAGAGAAGACTAGATGTATCACCAAGAAAGAAATAGAAAACGAAATGAAAAAAGAAAATAAAAATGAAGATAGATGGCGAGTGTAACAGTGCGACATCACTGTAACAGAAAGTATCTTCATAACGAAAATCTGTGTTGACTATCTAATTCTTGATAGAATCTTGTGGAATACTTTCCTCGTTGCAAGAATCCAATATTCATTTTCGATAATGTAAGAATCCATTTGTATCAAGAATGCATTGTCATTTATAGATCAAGTTAGGACTAGAGAAAAAAAAAGGTAACTACGCAGATAAATAAACACTTTGTCTTCGTTGTTGCGTTCTTCTTTCTTTTGTGACCATTATTATCATCACCTCGGCTTATTTGCGTTTTTTCATTGCACACACAATATTAACGAACAACAAAATGTTTAATGCATTCATGTTGCCTATCATCTCTGTTATCTATTTCTCTTTCTTTGTATATTTTCATGTTAGATAATGACTTGATAAGACACATAGGCGTGATGTCACATTTTTTTTTCTAAAAAGAAAATTACTCTATTTCAAATGGATGCTTTATCGACGTTCATTCTTAACGAGCGTTTTTGGTTACCAGGCAATACAACTTGGAAAGATTTTGCTCGACTTGAAAAAGATGAAAACATCAAGTTGACAAATCCAAACGATCTTATCTATGTTTATCCTTTGGCCGGTATAATTTATGTGATACGAGTGCTTTTCGAACGGTAGAAAAGAAAAAAAAATACCATTCTAACTTGCATACTGTATTGACAGTTTCTTTTCTTGTTAGATATGTTGCTAAACCGATTGGTCGATTGCTTGGTATTCAAGATCGAGTTGGAAGAAATACAACAAAAGATATGAAAACTACAGCAACAACAGTATCAAATCGTTTTAAACCAATAAATATA